GCCAGTGTATTCCCTGTACTCCATACACAGCAGTGCACCCTGCGCTCTGCATTTTACATTTCACTGGTAAATGGTGAACACTCATTGGTCAGCACGGTAACCTGACTGCGCTGCCCAACGAGAAGCTCTTCTTAGCAAGAGTATGGGGAATACACCAGCACCAGTGGAGGGGAAGGATTAGGCCAAATATATGTACAGCAGAGGGGAGGGGGCCAGATTGGAGGGCGTAATTCAATTTTTCCAAATTCCCCCTGGGAAAGTGGAATTACCCATTAAGAAGTAGGAATTTTGGATTGTATTTGGACCCCAGCACTTTCACTTACTTCCAGTCGGTTGAGGGTAGCAGGCGCTCGGCTGTTCAGACCAACATCCCAGGCTGCAGTGGTGAAAACTATAGAGAAAACATTTTTATGTATATTATCCCATGTATTCCTTTGAAAAAAGTTTTGGCAATCAGCACCACTGCCTTTACTTATCATGAATAATGCATGCTATGAAACCAGAAACTGGTTCAGTTATCTGTTCTGTATAGCAGTGGTCTGTCATTCCAGACTCATGACTTACTGAGCCATATCGCATGTTGCTCATTTGATTGAAGTATTTGGGGCCTGTCTGGCGTGTGGATAGCAGCTGCAAGGCACGCTTATGAAACTAGAGAGCTGGCTTTTATTCAAACACAGAAACACAAGGAAAGCATTCTTACTTTTTGTGAAACAAAAGATGGTATTGCAGATGTAGACAATGAAGCTTCATTTGGCAATTCATCAGAGATACAACATATTGTTCTTACCCAGCAGAACAGTGAAGATGCACCACCAGATTAGCTTTTAACCAATCGCTAATGCATATACTTTTTATAGATCTTTATATAGAACACACATCAGGTATTTTTATCAACTTGAGTTTAAGGGTTAGTTCATATTTTCATAAAAATACAAATTAAAAGATGAATTAACTCACAACACCCCCCTCCTACCCACTAGATCATTATGTATATTGATGACCCTTAACCACCACCCATGCCAGTTGGTATAATGGTCCTGGCAGTTGAAAACGTCACTACACAGCCCATGAATTTACATAAACTGTAAAGAAAAACTCTGAGCCCAAGTTTTATTAACTCTTGTAGTGGGGCAGTACCAAGCATAACATTTAAGCAGAGTATAAAATTCTCTATAACAAAACTTGTGTTTCAGCATGTGTCATTTTGGTTATTGCCCATAACTCATGACCACCAGGGTGTAGGAATGTAGATACACTAATAGATACACTAATACACCTCAAGCCCCATTCAAAATCTTTGTTCTAGCAACCCCAATCAACTATTACAGCATTTTGTAGCGGGGGTCCTAAATTGCTTCCATTACTGAATGGAGCAGTCTACCCATTTTGCTTACTGGCCATAACTCATGACCACCAGTGTATGTAGGGATGTTGATAGGACACTTGTTTAAAGATCTTGAATGAGGTTTGAGGTGTATCAGCCTATCAAATATTACTGCACTGTTACGCAAGCAGGGAGTCCTAAATTGCATCCATAACTGAATGGAGAAGTGTACTTTTTTTTTCTTTTTCTCCAGAACATGATGGCTTCAGGCTTGCTGTTAATACTCCTCATCATCAGCATTGCCCTCTGTAGTCCATCTCTCAGGGACAATCTAATTTGCTAATATCAATAATGTTATATTTATCCCTTAATGTTATCACTTCTGTTAATGGCTGCTCAAATTATATTCTGGTTTTAACAATCAATAACCATGGAGCCAAGACACAAGCCTGATGTAAACCAACACCAACCGTACTTTATTGTAATGGCGCAGCAGTTCTTAGTGCACAGGTTTGGTCTTTCACATTTCAATTATGTACTTTTAGGACATTTTCAAGTGTGTTTTTTATGCCTTTTTGTATTTGTTTTTCCAGGAAGAGGCAATATTTTCCCTACTAAAACCACCAGCCAAAGTCGTATTTTCAGTTTTCAAAAAGCTTGAGGAAGCTTTAGAACCTTTGTCATGTTTACCTGCACAGGAGATTTCATCCCTTTCCTATTTTGTAGGATTCAGACAGAACAGAAATTGTCGAAGACAGCAATTAAAGAAAACCTAGTTTCCTAGCTGGTATGCTTATCCAATGGCTTCTGTATGCTCTGCGCCAATGACCTGGAGAATGTATACAGATAGAAGTTCTGACTTTCAAGATCTGCATACTGGTTTTGAGTCAGAACTCACAGGAAGTTTTCAGTTGAATTTCTGGCAAGATCAACTTAAATGATCAAATTAAAAAAACACATCTAATACAGCACCCCCCAGCCCTGAACTATAGAAGAGATGATGTCACAGAGGCAGGAAATGATGGACATTCTTCCCAATGGGTACAGAAATAGGGGCAAAAAAGTTTTCACAGTGGAGTGGGAAAGGATTAGGATCTGGGTTGTATGTTCCTGTCCCAGAGACAGCCATTCCCCTAATTTTTTGCTCCAGTGCTTGTATGTGATTGATGGCCTATGTTACCAATACCAGTTCAGCACCTGCATGTTAGAGCACCTCAAGATTTGGTCTCCATTATACACTTAGGCATACAATGAGGGTGCCTACATTTCATTAATGATGCCACCATACAAAAGGCATAGGTTGATGTAAATATTTAGACATGCAAGATGCGGAACGTAAAAACAAAAGTCTACGCAATATATTGTGACTAAAGACATAAAACAGTTTTATTTTTTTATTAACATTTTAAACAAAATATGACATGATTATAATCCCCAGGAAAAAGAGACCAAAAAATAAGCTATGCAAACATGATATGTTTCTTAGTGGTACAAACACATGTAATGTTTACATTAAATGAAAGTCTTTGTGATCATGTGATGAGATGTCTGATACGCCGCATTTGGCCTTTTGGACTTCAGAAAAAAAAAGACAACATAAAATCTATTCAATGACAGTAAAATGGTGAGTGGAATGCAATATGATATCTATTTAAAACTAAAATAGCATCAGATTAGGAGATATGGCAGCTTATAATGGTGGCTCTACAGGTAATCAGAGCTTAAAGGGAAACTCCAGGTAAACAGCTAAATACCCAACTCAAACATGTAAAGTAACATACTCTGCCATGCAATCTGGCTGCTTAGCACAAAGTGATAATACATTGTAGAACCTACTGTTCTGCAGACTCTGTGCTGCTGCTCTTTAGAAAACTAGTAAGCATTACCACAGTGTCATCCTCACACTGAGCACTCTGGCAAACCCATATCTTCAGATGCCATAAGGGTCATATCCAGCAATCACACAAGCCTAACTGAAAAATATGTTCAAGAAAGAACCTAAGCATGTAAAGGGCATTGTTCTATGTTTGCCGGGAGTTCTCCTTTAAAGACCAGAAATGCTGTAATCCAGATCAACTAAAAAGCTAAGGAGATTCATTCTACCTATATTGATTCCAATAGAAGCAAGTATCTAATTGGCTACCATGTTTTGTAAATTATAACTATCATAAAAAAAGACCCTCTGTGCATTAAGGATCACAAACTAAGATTAGCAGCAATCTTTTAAAGGGTTAAAGGGATGGCCAATCCCAGTGGTGGCGAATCTTGGCACTCCAGCTGTGCCAAAACTACAAATCCCAACATGCATCTGCCTCTGGGAGTTATGTCTGTGGCTGTCAGAGCCTTGCAATGCCTCATGGGACTTGTAGTTCCAAAACAGCTGGAGTGCCAAGGTTTGCCACCACTGGCCTATCCCCAACTGATATTTTAGCTTTTTCTTGTCATAAAAAAATGCAACAAGAGGAGTGGAAAAAACAAAACTTGAAGTTGGGCAGAAACGGAGCAGCAAACTACAGTAGAAGGATGTAGCTACTGCTGTATTCCCTACACAATATTAAGAAGCCAGCCAGTGAGGAAGTCCAACAAACTCAACCTATAAATGAAACACGGGTGAATTTGCTCTTTAAAGCAACTTGTCACTAAAATGGGAATGCACAAAAAAGGTCTAATACAAACAATACACTTATCACCTCTTCAGCTGATCTGCCCTGTACTGAATAGTGTAGTATTCCTGATCCCTCTTCTAGCTCCTATGTCACAACAGGATACAGTAGGGACATAGGGGCTGACACAAGGAACCACCTCACACAACAGTGGACTAGTCTACACTCCCAGAAGTTTGGGATTCTGAGGATTCTTCAGGCAGTGGTATCTCCCCAGGACAGTGGAGATCAGTGCAGGCAGTGGGAGAGCCAAGTATTAGGTGTCTTTGCAGAGAGCCCTGGTTTGTGCACTTTATTTTAGGGACAGACTGGTTTTCAGCAAATAAAAAAGTAAAGTGGTGCTATCTCTGAAATCTACCAGTAAACGCAGACAGCTGCCATCTATGCAAGCTGCCTTAAGGATGGTAGACAAGCTTGGCAGGGAACAGACTGCATACCAAATTCAAACTATTAAAATGTATGGTTTTGATGGTGTTTTCTTTCCAAGAGCAACACCAAGTTCACCCAGTACAGATTTTACCATTTAAGGTGGAATGAGCAAGGGAAAAGTCCTTGATGGATCTTCTATCTGGGATCCCAGCAGTGAGATCACTTTCCCACCTCAAACATGGTTGTATCAGACCAAACTCAGCTGGACTATGACTAATAAAAATCCTCTAGGAGTTCAGGGGACAGACATACTATATATTGTACCTTCCAGTAGATTGCCATAGGAATACCTTAACAGTTCCCAGGATAAGAGGATAGGAACAATGGCAATTTGACTGAAGCTCAGCCTGTCATAATAATCATCCTTGGGGTTGGAGCAGAACTCCATGCCAGGGTCTCAGACAGCAGTAAACACCTGTGGGGGAGTATAAACCCTGCCTCACTCTAACCAACACACAATCGGTTTAGATGCAATTGCCCTTTTGAAACAAGTGCTTGGATGCACCAGTTTCTAGACCCATAAAGACTGACTGTTTTTATGTAGATCATTTAATAAACATTTAAAAATATGAAACACTGACAATACTATGCAATAATGAATCTTAGGCATATCTGGCAAATGAAGGGGAGCCCAGCACCCAAAAATCCAGGATCGTAGAAAAAATAATACATTTCTGGATTAAACTAAAATACCAAAAAATAAACTAAATCCTGTAAAACTAAAGCCCAATCTTAAATGTAGAGTGAGCTTTGATGAAAAGGAAAACAAAGTGGCAATCACAGATAAAACGCAAATAAACAGATTATTCTCTTGTACGGCTATTTTACTTGACTCAGAGATTTACAAACGCTGCATTTAAAAAACACACCTGGTGTATTTTGTTCCAATGTAAAAGATTTTGGCAAACCAGATTGTTGAATCAAAACAGAGAAATAAACTCACAAAATGTTCAATGAACACATTCCTCAATAAGAAAAATGCTTGAATGAAATATCCTATGTAAGAAAATAACCTACCGGCAATACTTACTATCCTTAAAGGCAATCTATTAATACATAATGTGGTGTCAAGCAACCAAAAAAAAAGTTTTTTATTCAGTATATGTGAATCTTTATAGTCAAACTAGGTTATTAAAAGCCAGATGGCAAATTGTCCTGCAACGGATTATATCTGGTAATACTGAAGGCAGCGCGTTTTGAGAGCTGCCTTCCCCATTTGTTTGTCCTACATTATAAAGATTTCTTAAGAAGCTCCTGTACTATTTCGGGCGTAGGGCGTTTTTTAGCGTGTCACAACACGCTGAAATACGCCCAGGTGGGAACCTTGCCCATAGCAATTAATGGGCTTTCACTGTTTGAGCGTTTTTCAGCACTTCGATCAGCGCTGAAAAACGCCCAGGTGTGAGAGACAAGGCATCATCTGTCGGCTTTTTCCTAGCTGTAGAATTGGGTGGAGAAAGCTCATTAGTCAATTTTCAAGTGACAGAAACAGCAAGCATGGGGAGCTTTCTAACAACCTTTAAGATGTACATTCCAATTTTGGGTAATGTTTGTCTTTAAAACAAGCACGTAATGTAAAAGGTAGGGCTGACCTGACACTCGCATGCAGAATGGCATTTTAGGCTTTACAGGCAGCATGTTTGCTTCAGGTCATCAACTCAATAGGTAGTATGTTCAGTATCAGGAAGTCAGCTCTGCAGTCCGCACCTTTAAAGGTACGTTAGCTATGGCAGCTCCTGCATGTCTATCCTCGCAGCTTTTTTTTTAAAGCAAATGTTTACCAAGTATTACAGAGCAGTGTAGTGTGCAAACTATACCCATCTCTGTTTTTCCATTCTACCAGCACAATGTCCAGGTTCAAGCACTTCCACAGCTTTCTGGTTTCTGTTTTTTTAATTGTCCTGTGTTTTACTATGGGGGCTCCTACTGGCTTATTTGGTTTGAGTTGGCTTTAGTTGGGAAAAAAGCAGTAACACATGACAACCATTCAGATTTCACTTGGAATTCGCTCAGCAGAGAAGGGATTTCTCATTGCAACTCACAAATGCTTGTGGCTAGAGGGAGATAGGTGTACAGGCCCAACATCCCCAAGAAGTGCTTGGACCAAGACCTTTAACTGATAATCACCGCCCGACCCACCAAACTCTGTTCAACAGACTTTGTTGCATGGTTTCCCCTTATTATGTGGACTTCCATAGTTCACTGTCTACATTCTTATTTACTGGTGTAGCTAAATAGAAATCAATATGCCGTGCTTAAGTAATATAGAAAGACTGACTAAAATTTGCAAAATAAAAAAATTCCTGCCTATTTTTTGTCATAGGTAATTGCTGGTGTTTAGGATCATTGTTATTGATGTTGCAGTGATATATTGTTCACTATTTAGAATTACAGACTACAGAACTGGTTTTACAAAGTTAAGTATGAAAGAAAACACTTAAATATGGCCACGCCAACTTTTTAAGAAGGCGCTGATCAACCAATGTTGGCTATTATGAAAAATATCTGCAACACATGTCTGCACACAGACTTTTGCTTACAAAAATTGGTAAAGTTACGTAAAACTATTTAAAAACTATTATGATTCCGATCGAGTTTACCCTAATGTACACTTCAAGTGAACCATCTAAGTGCCTCTTTTCAAACATTCTATAAGAGACCATCTGGTACTGATACAGTACAAGAGGGCTAACTGTTAACAAGGAGGCATATTATAAAGAGAAGAGATTCTCTGCCCCAAATTATATTACTATTATGTGAACTTATCCAGAAATAATCTCCTACATTATTCCTGGAAATCCATAATATATTTCTATTACGTATAAAATACCAGTTTATATGACATCGTACAGCATTTAAAAAATGTTGTAAAACATACATACTTAATTTGCAGTGTTCGACTAAACATTTCTGTGCACTTCTGTAGTTGTAATAAGAGCATGGTCGTTGTCCGGGAAATAATATAAAACAGATGGACAACTGAGGAGAAGCTGAGTAGCTTGTGGGAAGTACAGACTGTGGGCAGACAATGGTTGGTGTCTCAGCATAAGGTGGTTTCTTTTACATTCAAGCAAATGTGTAAAAAAAAATACAAAAATAGACATATTTCAAGATATGTGTAACCATCTACAATTGTCTGGGCAGAATGACTGAAAACAAAAATGATGTGCAAAGGTAATCCAAACAGGATGCACTGTAGAAATTACATAAGTTTGTCATGATGCTGAAAGGTGATGACATAAGACTGATCAGGTTTCCAGTTCATGTAATGATTTTCCTATAAAACATGCGACTGGAGCCACAGGTTCAATGTTTAACACTGCACATACTCTATGTAGCCTAGTTTTGACAATAATATTTGAACAGGTGGTATCACAATGAATGGCCAGCATTAAACCACTGTTCAACATTTAGGGAAGCAGAGCATTTCAGGTATACAAAGGTTTCCATGTAAGGAAGTTGCTTTACTCTGATCCTCTGTGATATAATTCTGACAAATGTTAACAGACATTGGCAAAAAATTGCAGCAGAAAGAACCTGAGGTCAGGAATGTCAGAAGTAAAGTCAACATCTTCATTGTATTCCCCAATTTACACCTAGAAAGCACCTAGTAAATAACTTTTAAAGGAAGAACACTTAAAAAAATGTGGTTGTACTGTGCCATTGTTTCAACTTATGATGTAGGGGAAAACCCTACCTGGGTCAGCAGAGAAATTCTACTTTAAAATGGTTAGAATGTTTTGTAATGAAGAACAAAAAAATCTCTCTCTCAAATGAACAAAGTCTACAGGGCCATTAATACTTTTCAAACAATACAACATGTAAAGCTGTGCCAATTCAGCTTTAGAATAATTCTTGGTAAAGGGAGTACGTTAACAAACAACCACCAGTAAAAACAGGTCAGCATCATGGATACATCACTACAAGTAAAAAACATGTACTGTAAGAAGTATGAACTTGGTCATATTTTACCTAATTTGAGTGTCGCCTGCGACAATTAAACATGAAATAGGGCATGAAGGTTATGATAACAACGGTTTCTGTTGGAAGCTATAGGAGTGGTTGCCAATCCTTCTCCTTGTATGCCAACAAAAAAAATATAGTGACTAATACCGAAGTGTGTTGGCCAAGACACACTGAGGTTCAGGTCCAGGCAGGTTTGAGATGTGCAGATGCGTTTACCTCCATCATTCTTCACAGACTTTGTCTGACATGTATGGCCGCCCTCATATCTAGTGCAGCTAGAAGTTCATCAAAGTTGTGAAAAGTATTATATCCTTTATTGTACATAATGTAAAAGGTGGGGGAGCTTGCTGAAGAAGCAGAGAACAAATATGGTCTCAATTGTTAGACTTTAAAAGAGGTTTGCGTAGTTTGTTTGTATCATGGAGGGTAGAACCAACATTTTGTGCTGAAAGGGTGAGCATTGTGGGAAATGAAAGTAAACATCAATTCTTCTTTCAGATCAGAGCCAGTGTACCTAATAATTCCAGCAAACGAAGTTATCACAATGATACCATCATAAATAACATAGTCATTACAGTGATATCAACATTCTCTCATTTAGAGGTAAGCAAACAAAGATTAAGGCAGTACTGTATTTACATTAGTTCATACTTTGGTTATAGATACTAATTCTATCCTATGACTGTACATTTGTAGGTCTTCTTGACCACTTGGAGTTTATGTTGCCCATTTAACTGCAATCATGCTTACCACACTGTACCATATAACAAGATGACATTACCAACCTCTGCCACAAATATGATTTTGCAATAAAAAGAAAAAGTGTGAGCAGTAAAGACCACTGATTAGTATTCTTCCTCTAATGTGACCAATCAGAAATGAATAAAAAAAAAACACAACCTCAAAATTTTGTTAGCACAACAGTTTTAAAAGGGTCTTTGGTGGCAAAAGTCTTCTCCAAAGATCCTGGAAGATCTCCTATGCTCAGAATTGTAAAGTGCATTGCACACTGCATGGTTAGTTCGCTCGCGTGAGCCTATCCTGGCTGTCTTCATGAGCTGTATCCATTTCAACCAAATCATCCTCACTTACTTTCTTCTTCTTAGCACCCACTGACACTAGTGCATCATCCTTTGTCAGTTCAGATGCTAGCAACGAGGTAACAGCATAGCCAGCTTTTCGATTCGCTGCAAATGAAGATAGAAACCAACACAATAAGAAAAAAATAATTTTGCAGGAGGCAAAAATTATTTAAAAGTATGAGTTTTATGGGCTGATTATGACTTATGGCTCACGTATACGTATGGCTAAATAAATGTGGTAAATGTAATTGTATTGTAATTGCACTTAATTTGATTTGTTTTGTGTGACGTCAAATATGTGGTCATGCAAAGAACAAGAAAAGTATACATGAACATTTTAACGGTTACAATACAACAAGAGGTTGAAATTCAACTAAAAAGGAAGCTCTACTAGAGTCAGACATGTTATAACAGTGCTTGGGCAATAGTGACCAAAACATACCAATACCTGAACTAGTATTCAATAAAATGCAAAACAAAAAGGCTACCAAAAAAAAATTCAAGTTTAAACAGAGAACTATAGGACAGAGTGCCATTTACTTTTTTGCAAATAACTAATGGATCTGCACTGAAAATGCTGTTACAGTAGTGTAATTCGGTGGTTAAAATGAATACTAAACCACTAACACACAAACAGAACATATTCATGTTCTCATCAAAATGAAACATTTAGAGCTTTGAAGAATAGTCAGAATAAACTATTTGGAGGTAGAAGTGTTAAAGGGCCCCTATAATAATAGCTTTTCTAGATTTATACAGCCACTAAAATATCTAGGAGCTCAGAAAGAACCCTTTTGTCTTCAGCTAAATAAAAATGCTACAAAAACATGGAAATTATGTTAAATGTTTAGCACAGGGAACAAAAATTCTGTTTCAGATATGTACAGACCCTGTAGAAAGAACAGGCCATCAGAAAATTAAATAAGTACACACGATCATGCAAAATTCATGCAAACTATAAAACATGCAAGGTCACACAGAACAACAAGATTGCAACTCAGTCACATAAAGCAGCAAAGTCCTTAAACAAAAATAATATTGCAAACATTAAAAATGCATCACCCACACAGTTGACTAAAGTATTTCAGATACCCAGAGATGGACATTTTTATTCCTGCCAAGAAGGGGCGGATATACTATGCACTGACTGTATTATATACTTACTCAGAATAACACCATTTGATGGACATTCTTATTTCTACCAGCAAGGGAATGATAAATTGCCTCATATACTACCTCAAAAGTAACACTGAATACTAAAAGGGTGCTAAACACCTAGAAAACTGGTTCTGGATGAGAAAATAAAAAGTGTACTTCTACTCTATGTAAATAATATTTGCTCTATTATTCCTTTTTGTCCCACTGCTTTAAATTCCTGCAGCATTATTTCCAATACCAAGTCAGTGGAAAATATGTACAACTACATAATGCACATGGAGTGGTGAAGCAGCTGAATTAAGAACACTGTGACTAAGTGAATTTCTAGAAGAAAATTTATGGTAAGTATTATTTATAAAAGTTGTGTAACATTTCTAAGATTTAATTTCACCTTCTACCAGAGTAAACTTTCAGGCCCAGAGAAACTTTCAGCTCCTCCGAGTGGTGTGTCCAGAACTGCACAACAACTTTTTAAAATCTGCACAAAAAGGTCTGCCGATAGGCTGACAAGCCGTACAGACTTTCCATTAACATGAATAGAGTTCTTAGAACCAAGAATAGAATGTGGATTAGAACCAGGACTGGAAAATTCAAACTTTTGAAAGGCTAGATGGGCTCAATTAACAAAGCTTACAATAAGGATAAGAAAGCATATTAACAAAACAAAAAAAAGAAATTCAGCTAGAAAATCTAATGGAATATAAAAATCATTTGGCTGAAATAAATATCCTTATACTTGTATTAGCACTTTGGCAAATGAGCCTACTATGCAATAAGCATGTGATCAGTAGTAATTCATAGATAACTGAGCTATACTACCTCCTTCAGGTAGAATTAGACACTTGTAAACAAAAAGCCTATTGGCCAGCCAGATTAAACCCCACCCACTTTCATCAAGCTTTCGTTTATATAAAAAGGAGAACATCACAAACACAGAGAGGTGGGACTAGTGTCCCTTAATCAACTTCAAGAAACTGTTGTTTTTTTTAAATCCTATTCATTGAGACACAGGAACAGTCACAATTCATAGACAATTGGGAAGATCAAAAGCAGCCAAACTGTGGGGTAGGCAACAGCAAAATAAATAGAAAAAAAAACAAACAGGTCATAAAAAAAGAAGTAAAAACAGTAAAAAAGAACAGTCTGCAGCTTTAACAGCTCCCTTATTGACTTGCAGCCCAAGCTAGCATCAGATGAGGCCTGAACATCCACCTAGTAAATCTTAAAGAATGTATTAACAAAGGACCAGGTGGTATCCTTGCAAATCTGGGAAACAGTTGCTTGATGCCTGACAGGAAAAGAAACATTTTCATTAGGACCATAAGACATGACAATAATATGTGTGAACCACTGAGAAATGGTGGATCAAGAAGATGGTTCCCCTTTACAGGAGCCATCAAGAATGACAAAAAGAGTCAGCCTTTCTAATAAAAGCTGTAATACAGGCAAACAACATGAACCACATCCAAATAGTAAAGAGAAATCTCATTTGAGTGAACTGGGGCTGGGAGAGGAATAGAAGCACAATGTCCCGGGTTAAGGTGAAAGCCTAAAACCACCGTAGGAAAAAGGGAGGCTCTTGGCCTGAACACAACTCTTTGTGTAGGATCAGAAGTGGTTATTTACAAGACAGGGCAGCTAGCTCAGATACACACCTTACAGAGGTGATGGCAACAAGGAAAGTAAACTTTTGAGTACAAGTGGAAAGCAGAATATCCCTCATATGCTCAAAAGATGGCTTTTGAAGAGCTGAAAGAACCAAATTTTAGAAGAGGAAAGTTGTACTTTTATACCATTACTTCAGCTAGCAGATTCCTATAAGTGGAGATAAACTTGTGCAGTTTGGTGTTGAACCTGGAGGCCAGGAGGTCCACATCCGTCCCCACCACGACCTGTGAAAGGTCATTAAAGGTTTCCTGGTGAAAAGACCATTATCACCACATTCAAGAAAGGTCTCTCTCTGCTGATTGTATATGCCTGGGATGTGAACAATAGACAAGCCTAAAACGTGAAGCTCTGCCCAGAACATATTTTGCTTCTCTTGCCGCAGGAAGACTCCTGGTTAATCCCTGAGGATTGATATATGCCACTGCTGTGGCCCTGTGTTACTAAATCCACATCGGATGGCTCTGCAGTTGAGAGGCCCACCGTTGCAGAGAGAAGCAAATTGCTTAGAGCTTCAGTATGTGGGGAGATCAGCATTTTTCGAAGTCCAAGTCCCCTGTACTGATAGGGTGCCTAGGACTCTGTCAGGCTGGTATCCTTCGTGAATATCTTGCAAGATAACAGAAGGAATTATTTCACTGACTCCAAAACTAGATTACTGAGCCACCAGGTCATAGATAACCCGGTCTGGGGGTGTAAGGCATATCGATCTGTTCAGAGATTGCAACTTCATGCCCTAAGCAAAAAGAATGTTGAGTTCTAGAGGTCTGGAGTGAAACTGAGCAAATGGGAGTGCTTTGAATGAGGCTACCATCAAACCCAGAAAATGTATGCAGAATCGCAATGTGAGACAGCTGGTCTACATATATTCTTTATATACGAGACTGGAACAGAGGAAGTTCACTGATACTCCTTGTAAAAAGTATATTTGGACTTCGCAGAAGGTGAGCAGTGTTCTGGTTGGGGTAAAGCGCACAGAAGCAAAGGTGGATAAACATGGAGGTGGCTGGAAAAGGATTTCACACACTTTGAAGAAATGTTCTTGGATAGAAAGAGCACTTGAATATTGTGATGATAAAAATATGGGGCACTGAGAACGATATCGCTTTATGGATATTTATATGAGCTTTCTCTTTGATAAGTGGGTTTAACAACTATGAGGCATTATTATGAGTTGTCAGATAACATTTGCATACAATATCTGTATTTGGGATTTATGTGATTGCACAAGAGTGCTACACTTTAATTTGTAATATTAAGTTTAAGACTATCTATGAACTGCTTAATAATTTTAATATACAGTATATTTTCTTTGTATATTGATAAATCTGCATATTTTTGATTAAGATGAAATGATTATGAATATGGAGGATTGAGTAGTTTTGCAAAATATTTATATATACAGTATATTGGGTAAAAGAGTGCCACAGTCTTTTTATTTTCATAATATCTTTAATAAAGTTATCTAAACAAGTCCGATTGGGTTGTTTTTTTGTCTTGCTATTTCGCAAACCTACATTTAAATCAAAGAGTTTTTTGCACATTGGCAGGCAAGAAGCTCATTTGGAAAAGAAGATGGAGAATATTCACTAAACCACCTACACAAAAGTGTAATGCTGTAGGCATAAACTATATGCGCTCCATAACTGAATGATCAGTAAGGAGAGCAGCTGGTTACTTAGACATATGTTTAGTCCATTCTCGGTTTTTGTTTGCCAGTGTCTAATTCCTCCTGAGGGCAGCAATATAACTAATTTGTCTATGAATTACCTCTGATCCTGTGTCCCTTAATGAACAATAAATACTCATAAAACAGACAGCCAAAGAAACAAAACAGTAAATATGATCTGATGACTACAGAAGGTCAATAGATAGGTATAAAAATGAAAATTTAAATTCAGTGCAATTGACTCTATAGGAATCAACTCCTAATATATGTGTAAAACTATAGTAATGTTACTTTCCATATTAAAAATATAATTTGAGATTATATTTTGAAGGCTAAACAATAATTCCTTTGAATAGGGACACCAGTTAAACAAATTTAAATGTTAGTAAAATAAACTAACATTTTAAAATAAATACATATACGTTCAGGATTCAAAAAATTAGTGCTTAGATGTGTAGTATCATTGACAAAAATAAAAAGACTAATATTTGGCTTGAGAGATGCTACTGGGAACTCTGACAAATGTTGAAAATTACATGGTGGCCAGTGACCATTTTAAGACAGACGACTTTCAAACTGCATGTTTGCATCAATACTTATGACACGTTGCAAT